CCACATCCGTAAAAGCACGACTAAACACATAGACATACACATAAATATATACATACACACATGTAAACACATATATGCATCTGTATATACATGTACACATATACATACATATAAACGCATACATACTCATACATAAATATACCCACACATAAATACCCACATAATATATATATATATATATATATATATATATATATATATACACCTCCCATATGTATACACAATAATACACACATATACATCCATATATAATACACTCACACATACATATACACATGCAAACATACACACACGCACCTACACATATATACATATAGGCCTACACATATATACATATACACACACAGATACACATATATATACATATACACACACGAACATATACAAATACATACACAAAAACATACTTTTTCTTAATGTCATCCTTCATATTTTTGTATATATTTACATATACTTTTTATATATTTACATATACTTCTTCGATCACTACCATTTTAACCTGTTCAAGTCTTGGGTCAACTATTGTCTTCTCTACATACCTCCATAAACTGTGAATCTTACTCTGTAACCCTCTACTTCGAGTGGCTCTTGGGCCTTGTACAGGTTGAACATCATTGTACAAAATATCCGTTTTTAAAGTCTTTATTTTTGTGAAATCTGTTTTCTTATTTCTTTTTAATTTTATTCGTTTGGAATCTTCTGCTGTTTGATGTGAAACCATCTAACTTACGTAATAAGTACTAGCTTATCTCCATTTTAGGTCACCCTGACCATTGTCCATTTTAATTTCTCAACGATATACTGTCGATCGACAATATGCCTGAACGCCTATCCAATCAAGCCCTAAACCTCTCTTTTCTTCCCCCTACACTGGACACTGCGTAAAATTTCCACCTGGGAGTCCTTTTTAACTGGACATATCAAATATCGTTCTTATCACCACCAGGCCCACTATTGAAAGGATGTCATTTTAGGAGTCTGAATAGACTTCTTTTTTTTTCGACACGAATCGTTATCTTTTAATCTAATTCGCCGACTCTCCGACGAGACGACTCAACGGCGACGCTAAGGTTTTACGGCTTCTGCTACGGGTCACTAGCCGATATATTGGTATCCCGCCTTTTCATTGTCACGTGGGAGGGTGTCTAATTGAAAAGTCGTGCTGATAGAGTTTCGTCTGTTCCTTTGTCTTCGCTAAAAAAAAAAATTCCTTTTTCAGTCTCTGTTTTCTTTTCTGTTGCGAATATTTTGAGAGTATGCATGTGCCTCGTGAATTAATCTCCTCCTTTGCAATTTCGCAATATTAATTGGTGTCGGGAACATGAAAAAATAGCAGCAAAGACAGATAATCTCTTTGGAATATCCCTCTTTTAATCCAAAAAAAAATTAAGCTAGTGGTTCTACTCATCGGCACGGAACGTGGAATCGACGAGCCGAAATTAATGCGGTCACTTCGCACAAAAATGGCTTTGGGAAAGCTTTGGATATACAGTGTAACCCGGATGTAAGAACAGAAAGGGACCGGAGAAGAAAAAAAGAATATCCGGGTTTCTCTTATATCCGGGTTTCTCTTATATCCGGGTTTCTTTATATCCGGGTTTGGTCTATTTTGTTTAGGTAAGATGGGTACACTTTTTTTACCAGAAAAATCTCCATTATATCCGGGTTTCTCTTATATCCGGGTCTCTTATATCCGGATTACACTGTATCGCTTCTCCATTGAGATAATGTTTAAATAGAAAGACTAACTTGACTCTCGACTAGTTTCAAGACAACTCTGAATTCGAATCCGAGAAACCATTCCACTATCTTTATAAAGGAACATCATAAGAAATGCACAGATTTTTTTTTTATTTTTCTCGACAGAATCTATCTTACCTACTTATAAGTCTACCATTCGTCCTTGCCTTGAATTTCTGCTGTCACATCTAGTATGGTCCTCCAGCAATCTATTTTGAGATTTTTGATCAAATCTAATGAAGAATCTACAATGTTATTGGTTCTGGCCTGGCATCTCGGTTTAAGTGTCTTTCCTGTGCCTTTTCTAGAAATACTTTCATGGTAATTGTTCTGATGAACTCTCCTCTGTGGTATATAAACTTTAAGAATTTAAGCGCAGTACTAGATTGGCGGCAAGGTCTCATCTTTTTGCAGTTGAAATGGCTAGATGGAACCGTAAGTTCTATGCTAATAGTGTCTTCTATCGTACTCCTTACTTTCCAGTCTCTTGTTTTCCAGTCACCTTTGATCTTCAAAAATTGAAATGCAATGTCAATCGTTATCTTATGTCTTCTTGATTTCTGTTCTTTTATTTTTATCTCCCCTTAATAATCTTTTTTTTTTCTCATATTCTCTAATACTCAGTAACTCCCCCTTGGGTCTTATTGTCTTGCTTGGTATGAAATGGTTAAAAAAAAAAACTATTTTCACCTAATATACGCCCCGGAATCACTCAAGGTAAAAAGTTACTGAATGAGTCTTTTTGTAAAGGCTTTTAAAGGAAGGAGAATGAAGTGCATAACGCTTGACCCTAGTGGCCGGTGAAGTATCCTCCAGTCCTAGGTGGGAACCTGTCAAGGTGGAACTTCCTCTTTACCAAAGGAATACGAAGAGAATGAAAATGAGTTGAAGCATGGTGGGTCCTAGCCGTAAAGGTCTGAAATGATTGAACCAAGGAATGTAGGTTAAAGATATTAAAAAAAAGGGGGGAGAGTGGGGAGTTATTATTGTCTATGCTAAAAATTAAAGACGCAAGAGGTGTGGAAGAATTAGAAGCAGGGACATTAGTAATGAGTGGGAAGAGAAAAGAGTAATCAGCAGGACAATAGATAGCGATTGGCATTGCATTTCAATTTTTGAAGATTAATGTTGGCTGGAAAGCATGGAGTCGGAAAGGAGTTCTACAAGCGAGAAGTGCGAGAGAAGAAACTATTAGCATAGAACTTACGGCCACATCTATCAAACTTAAATCTAATTTGATGAGATCTCGATGCCAGTCTATTACTGCACTTAAATTCATAAAGTCTAGGTACTGTAGCTAAGAGCTGATCCAAATAATTACAAAATATTTATAGAAGCCGAACTGCCAGATAAAGACCGATAATATTGCTGGTTCTTCTTTGGACTTTATCAAGGACTACTTTCGAAAACTTGAGCAATATATATTGAACAAACCAAGTGATGTATATATTACTTTGCATAAAGAATTTGCTCATGTACTTTACAAACTATTCGGACGCGCCTTATCCCTATCTATAAAAGGCAGGATGTGTGTGTGTGTGTGTGTGTGTGTGTGTGTGTGTGTGTGTGTGTGTGTGTGTGTGTGTGTGTGTGTGTAACGAATGCACGGCCGCAATTTTCGACGGATTTGCACCAACATTTACATGCACATGCTCCAAGTTAACGGAAAGGCCAAGGCCGACTTTGCATTTCCCAACTCCCATCGATAGTGGAAATAATCGATTTTTTTCATGCTTCTACGGCAGTTTTCATGAAGTTTGCGGCCATTTTCTACTGGCCAGAGTGAGAGCCAATAGCTGGCTGCCACGAATAGGCAAGAAGATTCTATTGGCCAGTGTGAGAGCCAACAGCTGACTGACACGAATGTTAACTAGTATGCTAGCATGCAAAAAAAAAATCGATAGCTGCATTCGTCACAAGTGGGAAAAATTTAAATCTGCATGGCACTTTACTCGAATTGGCGCATTCGCTTGCTTAAACTCAACGTTGATTCTGACTCTGCAGAACTGGGTTGGATGTGAAAACGTATTTGTTGTTAACATTCTTTTTTCATTCGGTTTTTCCAGTTACGAGTCCTTTTTTTAAAGCTGATCGTTTTATGTTCATTTTGTTTAGTTCTTTTTTCGTAACAGATTTAATGTTTAGTATAGAGCTTAGAAGAAATTCGCAGTGTGAGATAGGCAAGAAGTAAGGCATGTAGCAACATCAACACGGCAAAGGACACTCCTTTAAAGGCAAGGAAGGGCAAAAATATTTTAAGTCGAGTGATATCGATTGCTGTATGAGTCGTACGATTTTTGAATCAAGCACAGGCAACGCCGGGCCATGCTGCTAGTATGGGATATTCTTAAAATAGTTATGAACTCATATCTTCCAGGTGTCAGTTTAAGTTAAAAGCTTTTCACCAGACATTGTGACCATTTTGTTTAAAGTTCATATTTTCTTAAATTTAGAACTTTTCCAAAGTATTTTATTGAAAATTTCAATTTCCCAAATTATTTTTAAAAATAATTTAGATCAGAGTTGGGCAAACTGCGGCCTGTAGGTTGATATGAAACGAGAAAGTCTACGCTCAACTGAATAAGAAATGAGGGTCTGCTTATCGCACTTTCGACCAAACATTGAAGAAATCGAATTCAAGTTGTTTGTTCTCGGAGACTGGCTTTCGCCCAAAAAGATGAGGATGCAATCCTTATTCCACAGAAGAGTTTAATGCTAATAAGGAGGGGTAATAATAATAATAATAATAATAATAATAATAATATGGCTGTCATCTTCATTCATTGAACGTATTAGCATGTTTCTTGTTGCATTAATATGGATTACAGTAAACATCCCTTTCGCTATCACAAAGTTGCTTGTTAGTTGCATAGTCATAACCAGTTGAATATATCTGCCTAAGATCTGTCGCACTGTGCATTTTTGTTCATGGGCGGAAATAATGGGAGAATATTCTGGACAGTTGTCAAGAGGTAAGCAAGGTGAAGGGAAGTAATATTTAAATATTTGCGAATTTATTCAGTCAGGGAGCAGCTGAGAGGACTGGGTTATCCAAACCTGCAGGTATTTCCAGCTAAGGTCCCCACTTTCAAGACTTTGCGCTGCTTTTACCATAGCTTCTTAACATATCGTGCACAATCTACTGTGATGTATGGGCCTGGTATTCCTTGACAAGGCTGCACGTCATAATAGGTAAATTGGGATTCGTATATTTGTACCACAGCATCACTTTGTGTTGCTACCCTCTCACTCAAGAGACTTACAGCCATATCACGTTGAAACACCAGTTCTCGTACGACTGCCGAAGTCAAGCAATGTCGAGCCTGGCCAGTACCTAGATGGGTGACCGCTTGGAAATGCAAAGTGTTGTAATCTTGGATGTAGGGTTGGTGTAATGGATAACGGCTCAGAAAGCAGAGTTGCGATTCTAGTCAGTTTCGTTATATCTACTTACGCGAAAATACATCTCCCCTCTCCCCCCAGCTATGGTTTAATTAGTAGGACTTGTATCAGTAAATCATTATTATCTCCAAAGAATTCTTACAATATAAAAATATTTTCTGGCTTTAAATAACCTGCAAAAGGTTGACAAGCCGTCAAAAACAAATCAATCAATTTCTCACACAATAATAATAATAATAATAATAACCTAGAAAATTATTAAAGAAAAGATAAGTTAAATTTCTTTTGAATCATCGTTAAACGCTGAAAGATTGCATCAAATAATAAATGTAACGGTTTTAGGGAAAATAAATTCAGCTCCTCCTCCGAAAGCTCTTAGAATTCAGGATTATGAGAATAACTATTATGGTGGAGTAATGGATAGCGGCTCGGATTGAGGAATCGGAGAGCCGAGTTCGAATTCCAGTCGAATCCATTACATTCACTTAGGTGCTAATACGTAATTACGTGCTTAGAAAAGGTATGAATCCTCTTCTTCTCCCCCCAGCTATGGGTAAATAGCATGGATACAACGAGATGGCAACTGGTCTACCGCAGAAAGAAATGGCAACCTACTGCAGCAAAAAAAAAATCTGCCTCGTCAGTCATGTATCGGAAGATACATGATCGCCTAAGCGTGTATCACACATAGCACATAACTGACTGGTTCTAGCCATGGGAACTTTAAAGTAATTCCGAAATCCCACCCCTAACTAGTGAAAAAAAAATGGCAGTAGAATAAATAGAAAGCCTAAGAAAAATAGAAACTGTACAAACAAAATAACTTCTAAAAGCAACAAAATATTGAAAAAGGTGCATGAAAACTTAGAAGACTTGGTGACAAGAGTCGCAAGAAAAGTCCATTGTGGATAACAATAATATTTTGATGTGACTGACAGTTGAGGAAATTTAATAGCCAGGTCTGGTATCTCAAATTGTCAAGTGTGCCTGGAAAGAAATTGGAGAGAAAAAGAAAATAGAAAGAAAAGGAGATAAGAGAAAAGAAAAGAGGGTGAAATTAAGTGTCCATATGTTAGCTAACCGGTATTGATTTTCATCTCAAACACTTCTCATTTTGACTGTACGTGATTTTTTTATGTATTCTAGAGTGTGCCCCCTATATATATATATATATATATATATATATATATATATATATATATATATATATGGTATATAGTGGTAAAGCATTTCGCCTGATCAATTCCTTTTGAAAATTTCACTTCGACTAAATATATATATATATATATATATATATATATATATATATATATAGGTACTTTCATTTTTTTCCATTATTTACATATTTCTCTTCCTTATTTTTGTTCTCTCTCTCTCTTTCTCTCTCTCTCTCTTACTCCCACTTTCCTCCTCCTGCTCTCTCTCTCTCCTTCCACTTTCTTTCTATCTATTTATCTATCATTCTGTTATTTATATCCAATTAATTATACACACACACACAAATAAATATATATATATATATATATATATATAAAAAAATGGCTTAAACATTAATATTCCATGGTCAGAATTTATATATTTTGCATATGTGTGTGTATATTTGCCACTAATATTATCTATCTATCTATCTATCTATCTATCTATCTATCTATCTATCTATCTATATATTCCTATATAGTTTCGTTTTATTACAATATTTTTATCCATTTTCTATATTAATTCCACTTTTATTTTTTGCATCAATGCTTCTTTTTTTACTTTCTCTCTTTCTTTTCTTCTTTCTTTCATTCTTTCTTGTTTTCTTTTTCTTTTGCTCTGTCGATGTAAGTTATTATCTATTCATGTATCCTGCCAGTGTTTTCTCTTTCTTTTTCTCTTTTAATCCCTTCTTTCCCTTTTCTATTTTCTCAATGTCTTTACCAGCTTTCATTTCATCCTTTCTTTCATCATTCATCTACTTTCCTTTCATTTCATCCTTTCTTTCATCATTCATCTACTTTCCTTTCATTTCATCCTTTCTTTCATCATTCATCTACTTTCCTTTCATTTCATCCTTTCTTTCATCATTCATCTACTTTCCTTTCTTTTCATTCTTTTCACTTTTCCCTTTTAAAAGAATATTCTTAATGTTTAAAACTTAAAGTAAATAATAAATGTTTCAAATCAGATTAATTATACTTTAAATATTCCTCAAATAAAGTTTCAGAAAAGTACATTTTTTCTGGAAGATTTTTAATAAAGAGAATGAATAGGGAGTAGCCATTGTCATCCAATTTTAATAAAGAGAATGAATAGGGAGTAGCCATTGACATCCATTTTTAATAAAGAGAATGAATAGGGAGTAGCCATTGTCATCCAATTTTAATAAAGAGAATGAATAGGGAGTAGCCATTGTCATCCAATTTTAATAAAGAGAATGAATAGGGAGTAGCCATTGTCATCCATTTTTAAGGGTAACTCCTGGTAATTCTTTAATTGCGCTTTGGAACATAAAACAATAATAATTGCGAATTGCAAACTTAAAAAAGATAATATTAAAAAAATTGCAAACATAAGAAAGATAATATTAAAAAAAAATATTTATATCATTAAAAGAACTTTAATAATAACATATTAATATGCAACAAAACTTTAGTTGCCACCTCTTCTAAGGTTTTCGTCATGACTTTTTTGAAATTGTCTGAAAATTTTGTGAACACCTTATACGTGTTTCTGTGTGTCTTCATAATCTGAGCTTCTAAAAAGTATATATATATATATATATATATATATATATATATATATATATATATATATATATATATATATATGATATGGTGAAAAACTTACTGAGAATAAAACTCGCTAGCAATCACCTACGAAACGAGTTTGTTAACTATTGTTCAATGGACGGAACTCTTAGAATAATTCTAGCATTAGGCTATTATTATAAGGAGTTTTTAAGACGCATGCGTGAACAGGCACTCTCCCGTGTGATTGCGCAGTTAGCAGTCAGGCACTATTAAGTGTTTTTTGCACCGTGCGGCGTCGTTAATTAACAATGATCGAGTAGATTAGCGAAGTCTCATGCAGAGTTTTTGGCAAAACTTCGCTTTGCTCAGGTCTCTCAACACTCCCGATTTGACATGTTGCAAATACTAGTTATTAAGAATGGGATCACAGGCCGTGGACGAGATTAAGGAGAATTTGTATGATGTGAGTCACGGAAGTGGGATTTAAAGGCTGTTTTGAAAAGTGGAAGGGTCAGTGGAATAAATGTGTAAGTTCTTAAAGAGAATACTTCGAAAAGGACTAAGGCGCTATTGACTTACGCATGTCTTTTTTTCCGTCTATAATAAATGGCTGAATACTTTCCAGACACAGCGTATCCCAGTTATTTTTTTATGATATTTTAAAATATTTTTTTGTTTTCTTTGCTGTCTTTCTTCTTTCTCATTTTTATCATTTCACTGCTGCTTTCCCTTTTACCGCTTTTCATAGATTTTTTTTTTTTTTTGTGTGTGGAGTTCTTTATTGTACCCTTTTATCTCCTTCCAAATCACTTTCTTTCATTCAGTATTTTTCACGCTTAATTTTTCCAATTTAGCTTTTTCAGCTTCCTTATTTAGCTTCAGCTTACAGTTCTTCTTCTTCCTCTTCTTTCTCTTCTTCCTCCTCTTCTTCTTCCTCTTCTTTCTCTTCTTCCTCCTCTTCTTCTTCCTCTTCTTTCTCTTCTTCCTCCTCTTCTTCTTACTTTTCGTCTTCCTTTTCTTCTTTCGCGCTTTTGTTTTCTTCTTGTCTATTGCTTTTATTATTAACTCGTTGCTCACGGCCTTTATTCAACCTTTTTTTATTTATATATATATTATTTTTTTTGTCATTGTGGTCTTTTGCAGGAGTCTATTTACAGCACATATTTTCAGCCTTATTCCTCCTTTTACCCTTGACTTCTGCTTTCGATTCAAAGAACTGGAAAGTCTGATGGGAAAAACGTTAGGAACCAAGAAAAGGGATTTATTTGGTTAAACAAATTCATCAGTCCAGACGTGCTTCTCTCAAATCGTGGCAAACAAACATTGAACCAGATCTTGGAAGGACTGCAGGCATGAAAAAAAGAGATGAAGGTAAGACGAGCTGGAAAGAAATAAAATAGAAATAGACGGCGAAAACATGAACGGTTAGTAAGCTAGTCTAACAAAGCATTACTACTATTTTAAAATGATCATATGAAACGAAGCATTCTTTCTCTGTTTTTAAAAGGTACTTTATTTTCTTTTATTGAAAAAAAAACGGGGATTGGATTCCTGATAGTCAGTATTGAAATAACGGACAACTTTAAAATTCGTTCAGTTTATCATTGTATTTAATACCATACAAATTCCACTTTGTCCTCCCAAAATGGACCGAAAATAACTCCTAGGTCCTTTATAAGAATTTAAAGAATCTGTCCCACCAATGATTACTCAGACACGGTAGACTCAGAGGTGTATCTATGGAAAGTGGTGTTCATGGTTAAATACTAAAATTAGACCCCTATCTGACATCCTACCAAAGTGCAAAGAAGACCTACTTGTTCAAAAATACAACCAACATGAACTTTTGTGACATTAATCCATATAATATCCTACAATTTCAAGATCAATGACAATCAAATACAATAATGAGTCCGCGTTATATTCCAAAACCCTAGGAGATGCAGGAAACTGCATTTATTAAAGAACATTCAATGTACTATATTTTCACTATATACTCATATTTATGATAAAGACCTATTTATGAATTCAATAAAATCGAACCTAAGAACAATAATTGATAATAATACAGAACAATTATAATATTATTTATTTATCAGTTATTTTTGCTTTTGGTAGATTGCAAACTAACATGGCGTTAATTGATGTCATTTATTACGAAGCTTATTTAGTACCTGCCATTAATTAGTTGGTTGTAAAAATGGTGTTATCCCTGTTTTGATTTTGCTCTACATCTTTTTCCAGGTATCATAATTTCCAAGAAACAATTTACTGAGCGTTTCTCTAGATTTCTTTTTATACTCTAATTGCTTCAGGAATTTGCTTCAGATGATATCGAAGAAGGGAGGTAAATCGATTACGATTCTCAGATTGATTAGTTTCACTTTGTCAATTAGCATGTGATCTATGACAATGGTTTTAAGTGAGTTTCTAGTTCTCATTTCTTTTTAGCTGAGGTCGGCAACCTTGCGCTGTGCTTACTTAGCGTTTAAAATCATTCAGTGCGCCAACAGCATACGTATTTTTATAAGAATTTAAAGAATCTGCCCCACCAATGGTTACTCAGACACCGTAGAGTCGGAGGTGCATCTATGGAAAGTGGTGTTCATGGTAAGATACTAAAATTATCCTACCAAAGTGCAAAGTAGACCTACTTGTTCAAAAATACAAGACAAGGTTATTAATATGTATAATAAATTATGACACTTCAGCAAGAAGGATATTTATATCACGTCGCAACCGAATGTTCGGTTTAATGTGGGCTTACCGACCGGCAATACAGTGGAAAAATTGCTCAAGCCTCCTCGACGCATCCCGTATTGGGGACGCCTCAGGCGTCGGGGAATGACCCCAGGCCCCTCCTGAAAGAGAGGTACTGCCTGGGATGGGTGGAGATGGCTCCCTAGAGCTTGAGCTAATATTATTTTCAACCTCTCCGATCGAACTGAACCCTTGTCAAGAAGACTATCTCTTTTTGTTATTTGTTATTTTTTATTTTAACAGATTGTCCTTCCTCTCTTACAAGCTTAAGAGAGACTTCTTTAAGGCCACGATAGAATCTGTCTTGCTCTACGGCTCAGCAACATGGACACTGACGAAATACCAAGAAACATCACTTGACGGAACGAGTTGCATTGGACATCTGCTGGAAGAAACATCCAACAAAGAAACACCTGTATGGACACCTTCCTCCTATCTCCGTTTCGCTGAGAGAGAGAAGGCTTCAGCAAGCTGGTCACTCCTGGAGAAGTCAGAATTTGTGAGTGACACCCTCCTATGGAACCCATTGCGCGACAGAAGATCGGTTGGAAGACCTCATCACACCTACATTGACCAACTTGTACATGATTCTGGATACCATCTGGAGGACCTGCCGATGGCGATGTCTGACAGAACGAGTCAGGAGAAGCCGAAAAGAATTCTCGACCTGATGATGATGATGATGACGATGACGATGATGATGATTTTAATGGAATTTGCACAATATAATTGATATTAAGATATTTTACGAAATTATCGCTAAAGCAAAATCTTTTAGAATACATGGCCTCAAACTATAGGAAAGCATGTTTTAATTGGCTTTTATATTTTTAATTGCAAAAATAATAAAATATATAAAGGCAGCACAAGAGGTCAATTTTTTAACACTTCATGAAAACGCTACATAATCTTTTTTTAGCGTTTCTGTATCAATAAAATACTGCACGACAAGATGAACATTTTTAATAATCTTTAAATTTTTTCTCTGATAAATTATCAATGCAAAATGGCAATACAAGAATATATATCTTAATAATTTATTTCATTCGGCTTACGGTTACATCACGTTGAAAGACCGGTTCCTGTACGATTACCAAAGTTAAGCAACGTCGAGCCAGGTCAGTACATAGATGGGTGACTGCTTGGGAATACAAGGTGCTGTAAGCTTGGATGTACAGGTGCTCGGAATTGTCGGGTTTGTTATATTCACTTACGCGCAAATACCTTTGGGAAAAGTATAAACGCCTCTCTTCTATGGGTTAATTAGTAAGATTTGTATCTATTGCACTAATACTGTGAAGAGACAAGTGGAAACGAGGAATTAAGGAAGGTGTCAGTTAAGCACAAAATGCACTTCCTTGCTTTCAATAATGCAAATTTTGCCAATTATATCTTCACAATCAACTTTTTCAGTATTAACTTGCTTGGCCCGTCGCTTATTCCAGTAGAAAACTAATTGAAGTTTACTGAAAGATCTCCCGCGGCTCGGAAATGGAAATTGCAATTATTAACATAGATTGAACAGACATACGAATATTTGTTAAAAGAATCCGATTGTTATTCTGAATAATTCACATAAGAAGCTCTTCCGGTCTTGATATTTGGATAATGAGTCGACATGATAGCAATATTCTTCAATCTAAAACGAATGATTTAGTGTTAGTTGATTTGTTTAACGGAATATCAACACCTCTATGGGTCATTTAATGTCGAAATTTAATTTTCTTGGCAGCTTTGAGATAATAAAAATATGAAAAGTTATTTTGCTTTCACACTTGAATACATTTTCTGGATATTCATATTTGTGTGAACAATTACTAGAGGCAATGATATGTGTTTTATGTTTTTTTTTTTTTTTTTTGTAAAGTTATTTTGGAATATAGTTTGATTTAAGAAATTGTAGAATATTATATGGATTAATGTCATGAAAGTTCATGTTGGATGTTTGATTTTGTTTAACGGCATATCAACACCTCTATGGGCTATTTAATGCCGAAATCTAAATATTTTGAACAATTTTATGGCTTCAACTAAATATATTTTGAACGCAATGGTATGCCTTCAAATACAGATAAAATGTTTTGGTGGTCATGCATTGTCGATCTTTTTTATAGAAAAAAATTTCTTAAGATGACAGGTCTAATGTTATTTTACACAGACTGTAATATATAATTGAAGAAAATCACGCGAGTGCCCTTTTTATATAATTTTTTCAATAAGCTTCAAAATTTAGGAAAATCTTATTTACATAATCTTGTAATATATCATATTTATAAAAGCAATTAAAATCTTTTCTAATTAAATGATGTCATAGTTTTATTGCAGTTTTTATTTTACGATTCAGAGCAAATTTTAGGTAAATGGTATTTCTGCTTGACAAAAACAAATTGATGATCTGACTTCTCCAAGGACTCTTGCTTTTGACTAATATAAATATGAAGAGGCTGAAATTTTAATTTCTCGAAATTCCATAAAATTAAATGGGGTGTTTGTGTGTAGGGGGGGGAGGGGGCTCGTAACGTATGTAGAAACATACATTCTTATCAAGATTAAAGAAAAGAAAATAAATAAATAAAATTACATTTCATTTAATTAAAATCCGACAATTATTTGATTTTTTCAAGAACTTAAAAAATAATGTTTTTAAGCGTCAAAAAACATGATACAAATCCCTATACTAAATCTTTGGTCCTCCAGTTGACGCAAGAAACCAAATTTTTAACCAGAATTTTTAACGTTCTAGAAAGGATTAAAAAATTAATAAAAATCACTTTGGTCTATCCTTTTAATAATAATATAAACATTTTGATGACAAAAATTTGTTTTTATCAATTTGGGGGCCGGTTGTCATCATGGTATGATATTTTTTAAAAGTTTTGAAGATACTTATACAAAGGACAGGAAATTGTGGAGAGCTATGATTGCCAACGTCCTGAAGGGAAACGGCGCATAGACGAAAAACATACGCTAGTTTTTGGATGGCAGTGGTACACAGTGGATGAAAGTTAAAAAAAAATTGTCCTCCATGACAACACATGGCCGCATACAGCAAGAATAACACAGGAAAGAAATGTGGAACTCGTTCACTTTGTTCTGCCTTAGACCCCCCCCCCGTTATTGCAGGGTCAGGCGAATACGGCTGCTGATGGCATATTCGCCTGACCTTGCAATAATTGATTATTACCTTTTTCTGATCGCTGCAAAAATGTTTTGACGTTGGGAAAGTTTCTCTAACGAAAACCAAATACTAGAATTCGTCGGAGAGCTTTTCACCTCAAAACCTGAGAAATTTTACTGATAAGTGGCAACAAGTCATTGTAAATAGTGATAAATATAATATACCGTATTTGCCGGCATATTGGACGCACCCAGATTTTCGAATGGAATATTTAGGAAAAAATGCACACATCACAACCAGAAAAAAATCAAAATCATAATGTTATATGAAATTCTCACTAACCATGAAGAAACACTTGCAGTATTAGCACAAATTATATTACTGATACTTTTATTTATAGACGTTAAATAAGATTTAATTACCAGAACATTTTTGGGAAAAGAAGAATTTTAGTACATTTCATCATGCATTTATTGAAAATTGTTTCAGTTGATTTTCAGGGAGCAATATCTGCACATACAGTAAATTCATAAGAGCTAGAAAGTGATATCAAAGAACACTGGTACATATGCTAATAGGCAAAAAAAAAAACCCAGAGATATGGTACTTGTTGGAAAATGAAGTTACATCCCATACATGCAGAAAAGCAAACCCCAATATCTGGATATCAACAAAAACACATACAAAGCAAACAGCTATATACGAGTCAAAGCAAACATTCCTGTAAAATCTGGTATTTCTACAAAACAAACAGTAAAATATTGTGCAATTCCATTAATTTCTTAATTTCTTTTTCCTGGTTGAATTTTTCAGGGATATTTATACTGATATCAGGTTTGTTCACTTACAGGAGTCTTAGTTTCAGAGTTAAAATTTATACGCTCACTGATTCCGTGGTCCCCATGGCCTTCTCATACATACATAATACTGCTGTATTGAACGCAGGGTAATATTTGGTGCACTTTGGGAGAAAAAATTCGCGCCCAATAGGTCGGCAAATACGGTATTTGAATAAAATTGTACTTTAATTTTTGAAGAATAAAGTTGATAAACAAAAATTTATTTACAAAAATGTATTACTGGTAATATTTTTTCCTCAAAAATGACATTGCTGGCATTAAAACCTATTTTTACACTTTCATATGACTCAACCTAAAAGTTGTGATGTTAATATTTTGTTAGAACTGACTGTGCCTTCACAACAACCGAGATAATTTAGAACGCTAAAATACAGGATCGCTAAAATAATGTGCCGTATGATACAACAAAAAAGAAACATAAAAAAAAATATTCTTCACCCGACAAAAGGAGACAGATCCAGTCCCAACTGCTACGAAATTGAGGCCCCGCCCATCAACCCGGATCTGCATTCATCCAGGCAGGTACGTAAACTGCGCCAGAATCATATTACGTCTTTATTTCCGCATTGACGGCTCCTTCAGATTACTATTTGCATCTGGATGCTCTAACCGCCCATAACCAGCCCCATTTTGCCCGCGTGGCGCTGAGGGGGAAAAAAAGAAAGAAATGAAAAAACTAAGTCAAATCGGTGGCTGCCGTCCGCCCCTACCTCTCAGCGTGCGGGGTTTCCAAAAGTTGTATTTGAAACTCGTTTGTAGATTTGAGGTCAGCGAACTCGGGCCACGTCATTTCATGGCTCCATTGATGTGAGAGGTTCTGTACCCCCCTGGGGCCATATGTCTATGTCAGGACAGTGAGGTCAGTGAAGTTTAAGTAGGGAATCGTTATTCTCTTGCTAAAATCTGTAGGAGAATGAATTTTCCAAGAGAGCATATAACTTGTGCCAGGCAGTCAAATAAACGATCAAGAAAGGAAAACGAAAAAAAAAAAAAATAGAGTAAAAAGAAAAAAGGTATTAGATAGATAGATAGATAGATAGATAGATAGATAGATAGATAGATAGATAAAAAAAGAATGGGATAGATAGATAGATAGATAGATAGATAGATAGATAGATAGACAGACAGACAGACCGAAATAGATAAAAAGATATGAATATAGATAGATAGATAGATAGATAGATAGATAGATAGATAGATAGATTTAAGAAATAATAATAATAATAATCACTACATTCGGCTAGCCATTATAGTCAAAATGAGACAGATAATATTGGACAATTTAAAATTTAAATCCGTAACAGAAACGAAGAAATTGATTCGCAATTTTTTTAAAGTAAATTTTAAAATATATTAAATGAAGAACTTTCATTAGTCGTTGACTAAACTTGTATCTATGGAAATTGGTACACAAATACACCAACTATCCCCAATAAATACACACACACACACACACACACACACACACACACACACACAATATATATATATATATATATATATATATATATATATATATATTCAACATCAACATTATCACTTGATAAGACACCGGAGGTGTTGAAACAAAATATATATTTTTGTAGTGATTTTATAACATATTTATGTTATAATTTTTTTAAATAAATAATTATATATATATATATATATATATATATATATATATATATATATATATATATATATAGGCAACAATCCTTGATTTTTATGCAAGTTTCATTAAAAACCAGACAAGGTACTATGATTAAGTGTGAATAAAAAACTTATCCACAGTCAGTAGCTTTTAATGAAACTTACATATCTATATAATAAATGCGAATGTCAGTGTGTCAGTGTGTCAGTGTGTCGCACTTTTTCAACTTTACTCGTAGAGACCGTAGACCAACATATCTTATTTTAGAATCAGGCAGACTCTGTGAGCAAATTATAAACTTTTCGGATCCGCAATCCTGAAATTTTGGATTCCCAAGTTTTCATTACTGCGATTGTTTTCGGCGATTTTTTTACGTGATTTTTTTTTTTTTTTTTTTGCGACGAAGTTTTTTGTACGATAACAATTTCTATAACTTGGAATTAAATTTGGGAATAATCGAAATTAATTGCGAAAGTCACCCACGAAATAAAAAATAATTGTTCGTACAGAAAGTAAGAACCTACGTACATCAAATTGTCTTTAAATAAAGGTTT